GGCCTCAGCTGAGCTCACCGGAAACCCCGGAAACGGATCACAGCCTGAGAACGGAAGTAAAATTGAATAAAATAAGATCAAAATAAAATGACTTAAATTAAAACAAATAAATAAAATAATATATAAACAATACAGTGATGATTAAATTAATGAAATAATTTGCGTTTATTGTTTGCTGCGTCAGTGTTTAAACCGCGTTTCGCTCCTGTTTGTCCCACTTCTCTCGCCTTAGAGAAAGGGGCGGGGCGGAGCAGACGACGCTACAGCGTTGCACGCTGGGTAAACACGTGTGTGGGATCGCGGAGCAGCGGACACTGTGTCGGTAAAGTTTCACCAGTTTCTGAGTTTAATTTAAAGCTCACGTTGTTTCAGGTCTTTCGAGCGTAGACGTGCTGTTTCCGGTCCTCTCAAGTGTTTCCTGTCCTCTCAGCTATTTCCGGTGTCTCCAGGTTGTAAACATGGAAACAGAAAACCAGGCTGAGGTGTGCGGCGCAAACTGAGCCATGATTTCAAACCTGATCTTCTTTAAAACCTCAAAGTTTCAGAGGATGAAACAGACAAGAGAACAGATCAGATCGATAATAACGGTCAGATCGATACTGGCTCAACGACACTGATACCTGTGAGGTCATCACCGGTTGCTGCGTCGGTTCGCACACGTCTGTGACGACAGTGAGAAATAAAGGGCGTGTTTACCTCTCATGACCTCAGCTGGACCTCAGCTCCTGCCTCCTCGGACGATCACAGCCTGTCCCGCAGCATGCAGGAGGAAGCTGGAGAACTCAGAGGGAACCCAGGCAGGAGCCGGGACAACCAGCAGGTTCTAACCCAGAGCTGTGACCGGCCTGCTGCACAGACTCCACACTGCTCCTGCACGGGGGACAAACTGTGGTCGGCCTGGAGCTCGCAGGAGGCAGGAGCGAGTCTCCGTCCTTCAGGACCAGAAGATCCAGCGGAGGTCATGAAGAAGAAGGACTGGCGCTGTACACACTGACATCACAGAGTTCATGTTGTCCACCGCTGCACGTTTCTGTGCTCTGTGTCATTGTTGGCATTAAAATTATGTTTTAAAACGTGAGCGTTTTAAATTCTACGACCTCATGAGTCCTACACGAGCCGGTGATTGTAGTAATGAGGATTACTGAATGACCCTGAATGCCACACGTGTGTCCATCACGAGGCTCAGCGTTGGGTTTGACGTCAGAAACCAGCTCGGTGTGAAACGTGGTTTTAATGGGTTTCTGTTCTGCAGGTGACGCTGGGATTTCACCGCCATGTCGTCCAAAAAACGCCCAGACGGGGACGAGCGCTTCCTCCGGGTCCAGAAGGACCCGCGGTTCTGGGAGATGCCAGAGAGGCAGCGCAAGGTCAAGATCGACAAACGCTTTCAGTCCATGTTCCACGACGAGCGCTTCAAGGTCAAGTACACGGTGGACAAACGAGGGAGGCCCATCAGCCACACCTCCGCCGAGGACCTGAAGCGCTTCTACAAACTGTCCGACTCCGAGGAAGAGGAGGAGGAGGAGGAAGAGGAGGAAGCTGGCGAGCGCAAGAAAGCAGCAGAGCTGAAGAAGAAGAAGAAGAAGAAGGACGTTGGCGGCGCCAAAGCAGAGCAGCCTGGAGGAGCAGCGAGTCTCTCTGGAGGTCAGGAGATGTTTTCATGTTAATGAACACGCCGTTACCATAGCAACACTGTGTGCATGATTGAGGGGTGTCCAGGTGACCTTTGACCCTGCTCAGGTAAGCGTGTCAGAAATGATTTGACCGTCTCTCTCCTGTTCGATGCTGATGCAGGTGATGAAGATGATGACGAGCAGCGGCCTGCAGAGGAGGATGAAGATGACCTAAGCGTCTCTGAGGAGGAGGAGGCGCAGAGTGACGAGGCGAGTGGATCTGAGGAGGAGGAGTCGGGCCTGGATTCGGGGGACGACAGCGGGCCAGATCTGGCCCGGGGGAAGGGCAACATCGAGACGAGCTCGGACGAAGACGACGAGGACGACGTGGGCGCCGTCCTGAGGAAAGAGGAAGAGGAGATCGAACACGACTGGGGGGAGCTGTGCAAAGACGCGCCGCGGAGCGACGAGGTGATGCTGCGTGCAGTAAAGGCTGAAGGTCAAAGGTTAGTCTGCGCCACCGGGAAACGTTGCTAACACGATCTCGCCGCAGGTGTCGGCGCGGCTCGCCGTCTGCAACATGGACTGGGACCGGCTGAAGGCCCGCGACCTGCTGGCTCTGCTCCAATCCTTCACGCCCAAAGGCGGCGCCGTGCTCTCTGTGAAGGTAAGGAGACCTGCGAGGGTTTGTCTGCGTGTGGGCGGAGCCAGGAAGTGCTGGTGATCAGCACAGTGCATGCTGTGCTTGCAGATCTACCCGTCGGAGTTTGGAGAGGAGCGGCTGAAGGCGGAGCAGAGTCAGGGACCGATGGAGCTGAAGGCGCTGCCCGACGACTCGGAGGACGACACGGAGGAGGAGAGGTAATGATGATGTCACAGAGAGGCGGGATTTAGACGCAGGTTTCAAAAAGGTGGATTACATGAATATGCAGGCCACTTCATTAGGTACACCCTGCTGGTAATGATTCAACATCTGCTGGAAACGTTCGTTCACGCTGAAGTGACATCATCATGACATCATCATGACATCATCACCCATGGAGCTGCTGCTCGCTGCAGATGTTTGGAGGGAAAATCCTCCAAACATCAGCAGAAACACAACCGTGAAACCTCCTTTCTTCATCAGTCGGGTCCTCAGTTTAAACGTCAGCATGTCTGCATGCTGCCCTGTGATTGGCTGAGCTGCTGCCCTGTGATTGGCTGATCAGGTATTTGCATTAACAAGCAGATGCACAGGTGTACCTAATGAAGTGGCTGTAACTGTAACCTCATTGCTTTGAAACACCAGTGAGTCTGTGACACTTAAAATCAGCTGTGCAGCATCAGGTGGGCGGGGCTCCCTGCTGACCTGTCAGTGTGCTCTCAGGGTTTACAGGGAGAAGCTGCGGGACTACCAGTTCAAGCGTCTGAAGTATTTCTACGCCGTGGCGGAGTGCGACTCGGCCCAGACGGCGGCGAAGATCTACGAGGAGTGCGACGGCTACGAGTACGAGAGCAGCTGCTCCGTCCTCGACCTGCGGTACGTCAGCAAAGCATCGAAGCATCACGCACACGTCAGGCTCACGTTAGCGAAAACTGATCCGAGCGTGGCGAGTGGACCCGCGTGTCGCTGCGCAGTCTGAAAACGTTCCTGTTGATAAACTTCCAGCTTTCCCAGTTTCAGTTATTCCAGAATGAAGGTTTTTAGATGTAGTCGTTCCTGAATCGGACGTCTGCAGGGAAACCTGGAGACATACTTAACGTTCCCGGGTCCCCAGCTGAGCTTCGATCCATGAACTTTAGTTCAGTCAAAGGTCAGAGTGCACGCGCTGCGGGGTCACCATGATGACACGCGCGTTAGTTACACAGATTTGTTCCAGCTGGTTAATGGAAGCCAAACGCATCACGTCGATCACGTCGATCATCGACTCTAAAGGTCGTTACAGGATCTCACGGCTCGTCTTCTTCTCCTGACACGAGCAGCTTCGTTCCCGATGACGTGAAGTTTGACGAGGAGCCCAAAGACGCGGCGACGGACGCAAACCTGTCGGCCTACACGCCCAAGCTCTTCACCTCGTCTGCGACCTCCACCTCGAAGGTAAGCGCTTCCCCGACGCTCGCCATCAGAGGCGACGGGAAGAGTGTTCGCAGTGATGATGTCAGGCGGGTTCACCGTGCAGCAGGCGCTGACGTGTTCGTGTCGACCCGATCAGGTGCAGCTGACGTGGGATGAAACCGACCACGAGCGCGTGACGGCCCTAAACAGGAAGTTCAACAAAGACGAGCTGCTGGACATGGACTTCAGAGCCTACCTCGCCTCCTCCAGCGAAGAGGAGGAGGAAGGTGGTGACGGCGCCTTTGAAGAGGACGTGAAGACGGCGGCAGGTGAGAAACACGAGAACGTGAAGGTTTTCTGACTGCTGAAATGTGAAAGCGGCGGCGAGCAGGTGAGCTGTGTTTGTGTCGGACAGACGAGCGCGTCGTGGAGGAGAAGAAGAAGAAGAGCGAGGAGCAGATCTCCAAGTACAGAGAGCTGCTGAAAGGCATCCAGGAGAAGGAGAAGAAGGTGCAGGAGGACAAAGACATGGAGATGGAGGTCACCTGGGTGCCAGGTACGCACGCAGCCTCACTTCCTGCTTTCTGAACACAAGGAGAGGTCGGGTCTGAAGGCGGGGCTTGTTCTAAAAGTGTTTGTCTCCACGCCACAGGCCTGAAGGAGACGACGGAGCAGCTGGTGAAGAAGAAGCTGGAGGCCAAAGACGCGCTGACGCCCTGGGAGGACTTCCTGCAGAAGAAGAGAGAGAAGAAGAAGCAGAAGAAGTGTGAGAGTAAACAGGTGAGGGCGTGGCTTGCAGACGCACACGGCGTCTTCGTTAGATGGAACGCTCCAGCCTTCGTTAGCAGCAGCGTTCTGACATCACTCGATGTCGAGGTCATGATGCTCCGCTGTGAGAGCTGCTTTTACTTTGATGTCGGATCAATTTCCTGAATCAGTTTTTGGGAAACCGAACGTACGGAGTTATCAGCAGTTCGAGTGAGGCTCACGCTGCAGGAACCAGATCATCTGTGATCAGCTGTAATTACAAACCAGCCCTGAGCTCCCGGTCCTGGATCATGCAGGTTGTTGGAGCAGTTCAGACTAGGGATGCACGGATACTGGTATCGGGTATCGGGGCCGATACTGTAAAATGTGTGTGTACTCATACTCGTAAAAGTTAACCGATACCATGAACCGATACGAACTTATTTCATTAATCAGAGGGTGGCTTGTCATTTCTGTTGTAGTTTTTTAGATTGGCCACTAGGGGG